AGCCTGGTCTGCTTTTTAAAAACAGGGCCAATCAGAGACAATCAGAACAGAGCTCATTAACATACATCAGTCTTAAAGGGGCGGTAATAAAAACAAGTACCAGAAAATGTAGGATATGGACCCTTCAGTGATTCTGGCTAAATTATTGCTGTACTCTCAGCCATCCCCGATGACCCACATACCTGAAATTACAAATACACAAACCAGACAACTGAAGGTCAAAATGTAATATGCTTTATGTCTCTGGCTGTGATTTATGTTTTGATTTTTATATTTCTCAGTATTTTGATGCTGATGCTTGCAGACATTAAGAGATGATATGTGGTTATTATGTGATAAAACACTTGCAATCACAGCTGCTGTTGAAAAAGAGGATGCAGAGACATTCGCCCAAGAAAAATGAAGCCTGTAGACTGTCATGAACTGCATTTTATCATCTCATTCAGAGGCAGCAGAAATGACTTCTGACAGTTCCTCTGACACGCAGAGGACCCGTTATACATGAGGCTGCTTTAGGAATAAGCGCTGTAATGAATGTGAACATGTTCGCCTCAGACAGTGTTTGTGTTGGCAATGTCCCTTTGTCCATCTGCTTCATCTCATTTCTCTCTCCCTCTCTCTCTCTCTCTCTCTCTCTCTCTCTCTGTCCTCTCCCCCTTTCTGTAATAGTTCCTCTTTGTTCCACAAAAAAACCACCTTGTTAGTGTGGGAAATGGAAGAGACCGTGAAAGAGAAGGCGCCAGGTCAGGAAGCAGCTTGTTTGTTATTCACCGAGATCATGTTCTGCTTTTCCAAAAAGACTTAAATAAAGACAAGCACTCAGAAAAATAAATGAAGTGGGGGCGGGGGGTATTGCCTGTGCTTATCTTCATTCTTCATTTGTGATTATGAATGGATGAATGGCAATGCCAAGCCTCTTTAACTCAGAAATCTTGATAAAATAGAATTCTCGTACGCGTCAATAAAATGTGCCACACACGTCGCACTGGGTAAAATCAAAGTTCACCTAGTTTGCAGATAATATCTCTTGTTTGCAGGATGATTTGGGGGACTGGGGCTTTCATAGAATTGGATAGTACACAGCAGTGTTTCATTTGGTAAAGCACATTCTTTTCATAACAGACCACTTATTTCATAGAACTGTGTGAGAAAAGGCTGCACACTAAAATTACACCCTGTATTGTAGCATCTCCATCTAATTAGCACTGTCCTGAGTAATGAGCCTAATCATTTTTGAATGTTAGAGAGGCTGCAGATGGTTAAGAAACATCAAGTCAATAAACTCAGTGCAGTGATGTGGATCGCCAAATCACCCCTCCATTCTTCCATAAACTGCTATTATTGTTCCATAACCTGTTTTGACTCCAGTTATGCAGTTTCATTTTATTTAGCTAATTATTTAACTATTAATTTTCAAATTTCTTTTCAATTCAAAATAGCAAAATAGTAATTGATAGTTTCACAGTGTTTTTAATGTTGGTGACCTGGTTTTAAAGCTGCACTATGTAAGATGTTTTTGTTAAAATTGAAAGAAAGTAGCATTACTGAACCAGGACAAAATATGCTAAAATGTGTTGTGCATGTGCTGCTGTCACCTTGTAAAGCCTGAAGTATTAATTCAAAAGTCAGAGGTGTCGGGTCAGATTTCGCTGGGTTTTTCGGACCACAGCATACGTCTTTACATATTAATGTCACACACACACACACACACACACAATCAACATTACGCTGATGAAGATATGAAGATGACCCATGCTTTAAACCATCATTCCACTCTATAAAAATTCAACACTGCTGGTCTAAATGACTACAGGTCAGTATCCCTGACCTCTTTGAACACCTGGCCCTAGCTCACCTGGAGCCCATTACAAACCTCCTGCTGGATTCCCTGTAGTTCGTGTAAAGAGCTGACAGGTCTGGTCAATTTGGCCAACTGCCAGTGGATTATGCATTTCTGACAAACTGCAGACTGCAGGTGTGGCTTGCAAAACACATGTCAGACCCCAGGACCGTCAGTACTGGATTTCCATAACGCTGGGTTCTCTCACCCCTTCTCTTCAGTCTCCATAACCACCAACTGCGTCTTCAAGGAACCAGCAGTGAAGATCCTGAAGGTTACAGATGACACCACTGTGATGGGCCTCTTAGCCAGTGGTGATGAGTTTGCCTACAGAAAGGAAGTCAAGCAGCTGGTGTCCTGGTGCTGCAGCAACCACCTGTTGTTGAACACACAAAAGACTGCAGAGACGGTGGTGGACTTCAAGTGCAACCCCTCTCCCAACCCCTTCAACATCAATGGCTCTGTAGTTTCCACTGTGGAGTCACTCAAGTTCTTGGGCACTTCCATATCCAGGAACCTGAAGTGGGAGAGGAACACGCTCTCCATAGCCAAGAGAGCACAGAAGAAATTGTTCTTCCAGAGCCAGCTAAAGAAATTCAACCTGCCACAGAGCCTATTGATCCAGTTCTACACAGCAATCATCGAGTCCACCCTCACATCATCCATAACATCTGGTTCAGTTCCTCTACCTCATAAGAGCGAGCCAAACTCAAGGCAAACTCAAACAGTGCATAATGAAGATGGCTGAGAGGATCATTGGATGTCTGCCAATGCTTCAGGACATCTACACCAGCAGGGTGATGAAGCATGGTGGCAAACTAACAGCAGACCCCTCTCATTCTGGACATCACCTCTTCCAGCCGCTTCCCTCTGGCAGAAGTTTCAGAGCTATCAAAACCAGCACAACCAGACATGCTAACAGGTTTTTCCCCAGAGCTGTAGCATTCATTAACCACAGTGGACACCTCACACCTTAACCCCACTTAATGGCCAGGGCCCGCTGGTGGGCCCAAAGTTTTATACAACCTAAGAATAGCTCAACCAGTTTGCACTGAAGTCCCTGTAGTTACTGAATAATAAGGCTTAGTATGTAATAAGGCTGAGATTTTAAGGGACTGAACTTAAACTGAAACCAATGGACCACACTTACTATGTTAAAGTATAACTCCTCTGTACCATCATGCTTATTTGCACAGCTGTACAAATGTTTATTTTTAGAAATATTCATCATTCTGTAATATTCTGTACATAATAGTTGTTATATTATAGGGCTCATCAGACCTGCATATGTGTAGATACTCATATCTGTTTATGTACATACAGTATATTTACATATCTTTTTTGCACTTTTATTGTTCTTCCTTATTCTTTATTCTGTTTTTTCATGTTATTTGTCCTTTAATTAAATACTTAATTAATATTCTGTGTGCTTGTCTGGTTTGTTCAGTGTGTTATATATGTGCACTCTTCATGGCAAATTCTTTGCATGTGTAACATACTTTGTAAAATAAAGTGATTCTGATTCTGATGACAATAGTGGATAATTCACTTACATCCTCAGAAGACATGACCATCAAGTTTTGACTGTGTTGTGTCTGAATACTCTTTTAATGCTCACAATCATCAGATTCATCCACACAGGGAAGGGGTCCGAAGCACAACTAACATGGCAAAATATTCTTCCACAAATTGTGTGCAATTACAATTAATTAGATAGCAGGCTAGTCATACAATTAACAAGACTTAACAGACCCTAATAGACCTGTCTATTTCTGGATTATGTTAGGGGTTCTTTTCATGGTGAAATGGTTCTTCATGTGTTGTACATTTTTGAAAATGTTTCTGTATAGCACCAAAAAGGGTTCATGCTTGACATCGTAACAATAACAGAACCCTTTTTGGTGCTATATAGAACCCTTTTCAAAAGGTTCTATATAGAACCATATACAACACACTCTGCATCAGTCTGAAAAACCATTTCACCACGCAAAGAACCCTTTAAGCAGGCTAATAGATATTTGGATATGTTCATGGTTCTATATCGAACCATTGTCTTTATTAAAAAACCCATGAAGGACTTTTTTTTAACAATGTAGGTTACGCAATAATAATTTTGAACTGTCATTAAGTTCTAATTTGATTGCTAATATAGCAAACTGTGGAGCTCGCAGCCTAAACTGACTGGACATCTGCATAGTAGGCTAACCTTTAATCAGCTTCCACTCATGATTATGTGAAATAAAACCTTCGGAAGCTGGAACTCATCTCCTCATGCTAGTTACAGCCACTGTCTAGCCTATGACTCATGTAAAAATGTGCAGTGTATTCATTGTTAGAAACATTAAACAAGACATTCTTGGAAAGACTTCTGATATTAATCATGTTAAAAATATGGTAGTGGTAAAATCTGTAATTCTTAAAAGTATTTTGTTTTATAAAAGACAAAATAATCCAAGGTTAAGATATTTAATTATATGATCAGTGATTAACAGTGTAGTATGGTGGTATGGAAAATCACCACATGAACTCCACATTTCAGAATTTGATATTTCCTCAGTATCACTCTAGTATAACCCTCAGGTCTGCTAACACATGGGGAAAAGAAAAGGACAAAGGAACAAGCTCTTCTCTTCATTCTCCTCAGCTTATGTATTCTCAGACAAGCAATCTTGAATAACTTTAAAATCAAATAGTTGTAAATTATTTACATATGAAAAATAAATACATCTTCAGAACTTTAATGTAATGAATTATGCAGTTTATGTGATTGGCTACAATAGTACATGCATATATGTGTTTAGGCAGATTTGCTATAAATGACAGGTCCTCAATAAGTCCTTAGTATAATTTTGAGTATAATAGCCTTGTTTAGAAAAAAAAATGTCAATCAAGCAATTCCTTGTTTTTGTAGAACAATTTTCAGTTCTTCCAAATGTATTTGTTCATATCTCCAAAATCAATTTTTCTTAAGGTAATAATAAATTAGAATTTCCACATTGTTCTACTTCTGACCTGCAGTGTTCTAACACTTTAGATTCTGTGGGCTAACAGTAAGGACTTATGAAAGCACCCATCATTAGTTATAATGGTGTATATATGTATATATATATTTTAAGTGAACAATAAAAGGTGAATAAAAAGAGAAACATACAATAGCATATATGTATCTGGTAAGATCACAAACACACACTTTAATATAGGAAAGGATTTCAGGACATATTTAGGACACTACATATGGATACTGTATGCTTTGTTTACTTCAAAAGAAGCTGCTTTTTTAAAGGGCATGCAACATTTCAAAGAAAATAGCATTAACATAGTCATGCTGGTAATAAGCTTTCAGGATCATTACACATTATAGTAGTACAATAAAGGTCTATATGAACTCAGTGATTGTACTGATTGGATGAAACTCATCAAGGGGCCTTAAGGCCTTCATTATTATTGAGTTAAATCTAAACATGGTTAGAGTCAATTTGTGTTTGACCTCCCTTGGGAAAGCTGTCTCTCTGTCTGAAAAAGATACTGTTTTCCAAAGCTTCATGGAGATCCACTCCTACTCGATATTCCCATCTTAGCAACTTACAGTGTAGCTGTTATGCCGCAACAAGCCTCCTCTCTGGCTTTTCCCAGGGACTAAGTGCATTTAAACATGTCACTTCCTTTCTCTTACTGTGACTGATGGTAATGCTTTCAAGATTAAGTGTGTGTTTGCCCCCATGGATACCATTTGACTGTTAACATTTATGTAGACGTTTCTAAGAAAAAGCCCTCTCCATTCGCCCCCCTCCCCACCGCCCTGTATCTCTCTCAGCAGTAGATGAACATGGTGCTTAGACACTTCTTCTAATTGCACCTTGCAGGTCAGACTGCCCAATTCAAAAACATGAATCACTTGTCTAATTTCCAAGAAAAGCCATGAATTACAAGTGGGGATCAGTCTGGCTAAGATTTTCCGTTTTGTCCTGAAGTAACAGAGAATACCATTCCAATTAACATGCTGTGCATACCAAACTGTGAAAAGTGCTTCCAACTGTAAGCACTGTGCACTTGTGCATGGTTTGCTACTGTCACAATGAATTTTTAAGACCTGAAATTTTTAGTGTTGACCTTTTAGTCATCATCAAGTTTTGAAAGTGGCAAGTATTAGCAAGGTGATAAGCTGCAGGGAGACTATATGCTGTCAATTTAAACACTTATCAGTGGTATCTTTGGAATGAAGAAAGCTCAATAGCATCAAGATTTTGGTCAAATCATCTGTACGAGGGACTTTAGTTGCCTGAGGCCCATACATTAGATGTGAAATAAAGCTGGTGCTGGGAGCCACATAGATTGTCATTGATTTGCCTGGGCTGTCTCCCTGCAGCTGGATGACACAGTTTACTTGATCAGTTCTTGGTACTGCTCAGATCTGAGGAACCGGCCAAAGGAGTCTTTCTCCATCAGGGTGTAGATGCGGCTTTGGGCCAGATCAAAGGTGGCTGGAGAGAGCTCCACCAGGTTCCTCAAGGTCACGTCTTTGGTGAAGTGATCAATGTTCACCTGAAAAGAAAAGATAGCATTGAGGATATTATTGTGCAGACATTTCATGGAATGTCTGTACCAGGTTTGGCACAAAATTCAAGAAATTAACTGATGCAATTTCAGTAATTCTTTTTCATTCAAATATATTGAAGAAAAAAAACCTCACTCCCCTTCATCCCTTTTCCTCCCTAAAAGGTTCATTCAGTGCATCCAACTCAAGGTTGTTAAAAGTAGTCACCTTCTATTGGATAAATTGGACAGCAGAACAGAAAGAAACAACTCTCGCTCTCCCTGCGAACTGCAGAAAGGCAGTTGAGCAGCTGCTGAATCTGTCTGTCTGCTGCACGCAGGAGGCCAATTGGGAGGCCACTTAGATTAGACCGTCTCTCAGACCCAAAGGTCCAGTCGATAGCAAAATGATTACCACTAAATGGCTAAACAGGCTAAGTTTTCTTTCCTTTAAAGGTGTTTCAGATGTTCTACACTCTTAAAATGATGGTTCCTCAAAGGTTATTTCATAAAGAAAATGGTTCTATATAGAACCATGAACACTCAAAGAACCGTTTGCTTGATGAAAGGGTTCTTAGCATCATTAAAGTGCTCTTCAGATTGACGGAGATTGTGCTGTGGATGGTTCTTTATAGAACCTTTTTGAAAAGGGTTCTATATAGCACCAAAAAATGTTCTTCTATTGTTACAATGTCAAGCCTGTAACAAGAGAAGAACCCTTTTTCATGCTATATAGAACCCATTTCAAAAAAGGTTCTATATACAACCATCTAACACACTCTCCATCAATCTGAAGAACCCTTTAATGACGCAATCAGCAAAGGGTTCTTTGAGTATTCATGGTTCTATATTGAACTGTTTCCTTTACTAAAGAACCCTTGAAGAGCCATCTTTTTTAAGAGTGTACCTAAAGGTATTTCAGAAAAAAAGGAGTCAACCTACCTCTTTGGGGCCACCAGTTTGTATGAAATCCTCATAAATCTTCTTGGCTTTGGTGGCCATTTTCAGGGGGGTCTTAGTCTTCTTGAAATCCTCACAAGCCTCCCAGAACTCAATATTCTCATCACTGAACTCAGACCTCAGGAAGCTCCTGAATGTGACCAGGCCATCTATTGTAATGAAGACATTAAAGACAGAACTTACTGTAAATGCTTCAAAATGCAGGTTCCTAAATGATTCTAAGCAAAACCTTTTCATTATGTGGAGGTTCTTTAAACTTAAAAGGTTATTCACACTCACATATCTCAACTACAGACATCGTTTTTAAACCTCTTTTCACAGTAGCCATAGTTACTCATTTTTTAAAAGAGGCCATTACGTTTTTTTAAGCTTTTTCTCTTCAGTAATGTTAAAGGAATATATTTTGATGGAAATGTGTATTTGGAAGGAAACTGAATTTTCATCTTTGTAGGTGAGCAAGCAAGTATTTCTATTGTGTTTAAATGCTATTGTTTTACTGCGGCAGCTGTATGTATTTTTTTCATGTGAAGAAAGCTACAGCTGTGCTGTTTTATCTTGGCATGGCCGTCTTTGCAAAGAGGTGTGAATTGTTTTGACAGTAGGGTTCTTAGTCCTCCCCCCCTTTCTGGCCTCATTGCTCGCCAGCAGCTCAACACAGAGTCACACAAACCCAACAGTGTTTTAGTTAATCTGATAACAATGTTAAATATTTATTACATTAATTTATTTCCATTTGCATTGTGCCAGTGGAATGGCCACTAGAGGGCCTGAAGAACGAGGCTACTCCACCATTCACTGAAATGTTCTTCAGGGAACCAATGGTGGCATTGTTCTTGGCAACTTTGTTTTTAAGAGTGTAGAACTGTATGTCTGTTTGTCTTCTCACAGTGGATGGATGGACAGAAATACCTGTGGATTTTTTGAGATCTGAAGCAAAAGTGGAGCTTGATTTTCTCCTCTCTCTCAAAGATGAAAGTTTTGTGTACTGTTTGTCTGATGGTGACAGTCTTGGCGGTCTACCAGGTCTTGCACAGTAGTGGGGACCATTTTTAGAAAAGCCTTTCACTTATTTTCCTCTGTGTTTCCTCTTCTTATATCCAATCTCCTTAGAAATGTCCCCTGAAATTAATAATGTGTACTTCATGGCTGTTTTGACTGGAAATGTGACAAATAAAGGGTGGTCTCTGACTTTTGCACAGTACTGTACATGAGTGTGCATGGTGCTTATATTGTACTGCTCATATAGTCTCTCAGCTGAGCTCTATTAATGCCTGTCTGAACATCCCAGCTGCTGCACACTCATGCCACCCTATGTTTAATTAACTTGATGAAAATTTTTGCAAAAAGTATTGATTAGTTGTCTATAACTTATGACAAAAATGCAGTGTAAAATATGATTGCAAGTGCCTTTCAGTTCCCTTTGTTTTAATGAAAGTTTCTACATGAGTGCACAGTGTGAAAGCTTTTCATTTTAGCTCAAACAGAAAAAAATGTGGCCAGATTACAAATACCAATTATCACAAACAAAGCCATCTCTTTTGTTCATTTGGCATGACAAACAAGCATCTGAGTTGTTTCCATTGGGACTTGATGCCATTATAGTACTGTGCAGAGGGGATGTTCGTGATTCTGTTTTCAGAAGCCAGGCTTATTCAGAGATTGTTTGCTTTGTTCGTACTAAAATAAAATTTTTATTTATATATTGCCATTTCTTTCTGAAATTGTATGCTTTACAAATGGTCAAGTGCACTTAGTTTAACACTCAGAGAAAATATCCTCATCATCTGGAGAGCATTGTGCCTTTACCCTCATTGTTGTTTATCTGTGTTTCAGGAATATTAATAGTCAGACATTCTCTTGTTATAAAATGAATAATCTTTAATCAATAATACAAGATTAACAGCACAGAATTAGCTCACTGATTGCTCCAGTTTTCCTCAAACACTTTTCACAGTATGTGTGAATATATGTAAATCTGCATCCTGAACAGAATATGAAACATGCTAACAAGAGAAAATTGTGACATTTTACTAGCGTGCTGTCCTGATATATACTTAGCCTCAGGCTCAGCCTTGTTTATTCTGAAAAATAAGTACCTTTCAGGCAGCTGTAACGGAACACAATGGCCACATTTCAGTCTTGCTGTGCCTTTGGTAATGCACGTAATGCACTGGAAATACTCATCGTGCATATACAAAGTACGGTGAATGGTCCAGCTGCAGTCAGAGAGCACACCCATAATTACTCATTTAATCCAATTACTCCTCCTCGTGGTGAGGGCGCCAGGTGTAGCTTGTTAGCGGAAGTGTGGAGACACTTTAAAATCAGGCTCTCCAGCTACAAGAAGAGGAACTGAGCTGAGAGGAACACTACACATTATGAACTCTAACTGTAAGGTAGAAACTATTTAGATGGTCCATCGTGAATGTTTTTGGGATGCTCAGCTTGTCTTTAGCTTTCATCCAGTACAGAATTTCCAATGCAACATCAGTTAAAGGAAAATTCCATTCCTTTTTTTAAGATGTCTGCATAGTTCAATCATTAAATGTTTTTAAAAAAAAGCACAAAAAAAGCACGATGTGAAATGCTACATTCTTGAGAAACTTAAAGAGTCAGAATTGTTTACAGTGGCAGTGATGGGAACCAGACGTCTGACGAGTTTTTGCTTGATGCCGGAGATATTGTTTATGATAGTTTTGAGATAAAGATTTGGCCTTCAATGCATTTTTTAAAACACATTCATGGTGGAGGGGTACATGTAGGGAGCTGTGAGGCAAAAAAAAATCCCATTTGTTTCTTTTACCATCATTTGCATTTTACCATCATCAACATGACATATAAAAACTCATGCATGTAGGGTCACTGGTCAATTTGGATAGCAAACTTTGTGTTGTAAACATTGCAACCCCTGGTTCCTATCACTATTGCAAAGAAATCTAAGTCTATAAGTTTCTCTATAATTAACCATTTTACATCAAAACACTCCGAATGACTTTGTTTACACCTCAACCATTATATTGTGCAGAATTTTTTAAACATTGGTGTAATTTTTTCTAAACGCTTATAAGCTCCCCACAGCCTAGACTCCTTGATACACCTTGTCTTACGTATTGACTTACGTTTTTTTCTTGTTGTATTATTTCTCACTCATTAAAACAAAAATAAAGAAATTCAAAGTGCATGTCTCCTAATACCTCATTCGAGTTTGTGAGAAGATGAGGAATTTTGATATGGTTTGATTGGCTTGTTTTGCAGAAGGAACAATGATCCTTTACATCTTTGTCATTTTGTCACATCATTTACCATTTCTTGACATCAGAACAAATGAAGAAAAGTGCAGACTGAAATCTGTTGTTACAGAAGGCAAATCAAATGAAAACATAATTCATTATGAAGCAAAGTTTGTTATTTATTATTTTTCCATAATAATATTTACATAGTATGTTAAAAACAACAGTAATAACTCCAAACTTCTAAGGGGTTACATCGTCCCTAAACCTTAACCGAACAGTAGCTCTAACCCTAACTCTAACCCTAACCCTAACATTGTTGAGAGTGAACATTCACCAGAGTTTTGATAATAATTCCAGCCAATGTGTTTGTCAAAATAAAGTGTAACCCCTTTAATGCCCAGGAAACTATAGCAGATCCAAGCTTTCATTTCTCAAACCTATAAGCTCAGAATAAGCCAATTTGCATACATTTCCATGTAGTTGCTGAATAATAAGCCTTAAGATGTAATAAGTCTGGGAATGTAAGGGTTTACTCTTTATTTCTTTCTGTTTTGGACTGGTAAACAAACTAAAGGCTGACATCTATGTCCATTAAGTGTATTTAAAAACTTCTTGGCCATGTCAATCAGCAGGCGTGACTGGTGTACACACACAGCCTTTTCATGATTCCACCCAAAAGAAGCTCACTGGCACACAATGACTAATCTATCAGTGAGGTTTTGGCTTTACATTGCTAAAAGTTGGCTAAATCACTGTTATGTGAAACCTCTTAGATGACAAATGTCTATATACAGTAAGTTCATTTGCACATTTTTTTATACTTGTCTTAGAGGTTGGTCTGTCTGCATTAACAGCCCATTTGCAAGATTGTGTAATGCTTTAGCATTTTACATTTCATATTTATAGTAAGTCTTAATGTAGCTATGATTTTTCTTCAGTAAGTGGTCTTTTGGTGATCATCCTCATAAGTTTTTGAGCTAGATTGCAACGTATGGTTGATTTTCCACACAAAAATAGGCATTTTACTCTTCAGTACCTGATAGATGTATATCATACACAGTGTAATTAGTACATTTCTGTCACATTTTGAAGGTTCTGTAAGCAAAAATGTGTTTAATGTTCATCTTAGTATTATTTAAACAATGTTACTTTTAGGATCATTGAGATGTTGGTCACATATCAGTTTTATTTAAATGGGCTAAAGGGCCATTCCACTGATTTTTCTAAATCTCTGCAAAACTGTATCATTAAGATGTAAATAAAGTTATTCAGACTGATTTAATGTGGAATGCTCCATTATAGGGAATTTTACAGCCTCAAAATTGTTCACAGTGTTGATGGGGACCAGACGTCTGAAGAATTTAATGCCTTTAAAGATCCTTCAGAGAGAGTTATTATATGAACTGATTACCAATACAGTTTTCCAGTAAGGCTTTAACTTAAAATGTATATTGTAAAATGCATACATGGCAGAGGGGTACATGCAATATGCTGCAAGGCAAAACAGTCCACAAAGAAATCTTTTTTTTTTGATTTTCCACTATTTTACCATCATCAACATTATGTATAAAACTCAAAAGACACTTGTAGGTTCACTGGTGGTTCTGGATAGAAAAAATTGTGACCTTTGGTTCCTATCCCCACCACTGTGAAGAAATCTGAGTTGGCAAATTTCTCTACAATGAACGATTTCACATCAAAACACTTTGATCAGCTTTGTTTACATTTTAAGGACTCCATTAGGCAGAAAGTTTGAAAAATGGGTGGAATTTCCCTTTAAGTAACAGAAAATGATATATTCATATGGCTATATCCTTTGAAGGTCAACTCAGACTTTTTGAGCAGTAGTTTCCTCTGTAAGTGGAACTTCAGAAATCCTGGCCCGCAGAGAGCCATTCTATGCTGAAACCACATTTAAATTTAAATATAGAAACACTTAATTCAACAAATCTCAGTTCCCGCAAAACAGTGTTTGGCCGCCCTCTGAGGCATTGTGCTGGACAGGGTCATTTGAAAAGATCTCTCTGGAGATCCTGTCCTAACAGCTGGAACTCAACAGCTAGACTTATACTGCCGATTGCTGGCAGGGGCTGGTTTATTTATGGATACTTTAATAAGGAGATAAACCGTCAAAGACATTTAGAAAGTCCTATCAGAAATATTCCTCAGTAGTCCTTCGGCATTTACAATGATAAACTTTAAATCTCACCTGAAAATGTCACGCTGTTGACTAGACCTCGCATGTCGTGCATGAGTGTGCGCAAATGTATAAGTGCATATGTGCACATGTGCGTACGTGAGTACGTGTTTGCATGCATGTACATGTGCATGTGTGCATACGTTTATGTGCACATGCAAATGCATATACCTCATTTAAATTCAAATGTAGAAACACTTAAATGGGGAACTGCACTGTTTTTACAAACTATCTGCATAATTCACCTGTTGAGATGCGAACAATACTATTCAGACTGGTTTGATGTTAAATGGTTAATTATAAGGAAACATACTGATTCAGATTTTCTTTACAGTGGTGGGGATAGAAACCAGGGGTTACATTCTACAACACAAGCATAGCCTTTTTATTTACTATCCAAATGACAAGTGAACCTACATGCATCTTCTGCTTTTATACGTAATTTTGATGATGGTAAAATAGTGATATACATGAAAAAACAACATTGTACAACATCCTGCATGTACAAAAATGTTTTAGGCCAAATCCCAGTCTCAAAACTATGGCAGAACAATGACTCATGCAGCAGGCAGAGTATTAGTAACAATTGTATGCTTTCAGTGATGTAGATTTAGGAGGCATTAAACACTTGACTAATGATTAAAATCACCACCATTGTGAGCAATATGGACTTGGTAAGTTTCTTTAGAATGGCACATTTCACATTAAATCACTTGGAATGACTTAGTTCACATCTTAACTATTCTCTGTTAGAAATAAAGGTACTGCGCAGGTACGTTTTTCATTTATTTAGGTGTAAATAATGTAAATGTACCCTCAAAGATACAACAGTGGTTTTAAGGTCCAGTTGTGTACCTTAAGGAAGTTTCTTCCAGTGGAAAAGGACATATTTGCACCTTTTCATAATCTAATGTTTTAAAACAGAATAATAAAATAAAAAGCCTGGTGATGAGACAGGGTGTGTGGAGTCAGTAGAACGTAGAAAATACAATTTTAATGGATTATGGTACAATTATGTTCCCTGAGTAAAGGTACTAAGATGTACCCATGAGGGTACCACCTCAATGACAAAAGGGGGACTGCCCCAGTGACAGTTTTGTATCTTTTTTGAGATCTCAATTCCACCACTGAGATTGTGTGTTTGTGTGCATGTGTACATGAGAATATGCATGCTTCCATATCATTACATCTGTTTGCGCATGTGCATGTGTGCATATGTGTGTACAAATGTATATGTGTGTTTGTGTAGTCGTATGGGAAAGTTTGGCCACTCATAATCAAATGACATGTTTTGTTGAATAAAAAAAGAGTTAAAACATCCTTTCCAGAGAACATACTTCTGCTCAGGATTCAAAATTCAAGAGAATCCTCTCTGTGGGGGATGGCCTTTAAAGGTCAACCTATCTACTGAGAGCCCACGTTCATTACATGCAGAAGCATGTTTATGCGTACCACTCCAAACACACTCCAAATAGTCTATCCTCATGAACGTCTCAAAGGTTTACCACATGCACATGTAAACACGGAGCTCAGTACGGCTTGCTGACCTTCAGGGCAGCTTAAACAGTCAAAGCTCTCTATGCACCAATCCTGCCTCTGCCTTTATGAAGAAATTAGATACAAACAACATAGTGTTTCTTTACATTGTAGGAACAGTCAGGGTAGATGGATGGCTACTCACAGCTGTTGTTCAGCACTCGGTCCAGAGACTCACGCCATTGGGCGGCCTCCTCGGGGGTCGGCCTGCATGACATAAACCATAGCACACAGCTGTCACTCAGTATCCACATGAAAAACAGTCCAACAGCAACAGCCTGCCTTTATAATCAAATCTGGAGCTTTCATTCTGGTGTATTTTGAGTTTGGTGAGGTCATTGTGATATGGGATATATTTCAGTTTGGCCTCTAGAAGAGAGTGACTATGTGTTTTTGTAAATTGCGAATAGCACTGAGTCAATAAACATAATAAACGAAGTTTTATTGCCAAACTAAGCACTTTACAAGGCTCCACAGTGCATAAATTATATTGCCGGGCTGTTTCGTGACACACATTAAGCCTTGGCAAGATTTAATTCCAACAATGTCAGATTTTGTTCCCATGTTTATCTGACGTCCAATCAACTGGGTGATGAGTGTCCATCGATTCTTCAGCCCTTTTTTTTATCATTTTATACATGATGAACTACAGAGACCGTGCGCAAAGCAACAGCACACAACTGTGAAAACAAATGCATCATCATTTTTTCATTTCCAGACGTCCAAAAATGCATTCCCTTGTTTTCAAAAGGTGAAATGTCACTATACTCAGTACTTTCAACCCAGTCCTACCTACGTATCAATCTGTTTTAGCCCTGTCTGAAAAAGGCCAAGATGACTCTTGTACAATCCATTATAGAAGGCAGTGGGAAAGGAACTGGTGAGCAAATGCTTTTGGGCACGATTTATATTATAAACAATCCTTCCACACTTTTCCATTCCAGAATGCACCCTCCTCTCTCTCCAGCCTCCTTTTCCTCTCACATGCCTTTTCTGCATCTCTACACAAACTTTTCAGAGTGGTGTTGGGCAATCAAGAGAAGTAACATAAACAGATAGGCTGGGAATAGACCCTAATGGATGCTAACTTATTCCTAATCTATGTCTGTGGATCAGTCTACAGGATAAAACAGTCACTCTGGATAAGACTTAAGTTCATTTGAAGTGGTTTTGAGGTTTGAATTTTGCTTTTGTTTGTCTAAATTAAAATTTGCATTGTAGTATTTAATGTATTTCTTTTCCATTAAGTTGAATAAAACAAGTCAAATGGCTTGTTAACACATGAAGCAATTATTGGAGGATAAACCGACAAACCATTTTTCACAGTGCAGTTCAAAGGAGTCCCTAATGGACTGCTACCTCATTTGGTGTGAGTTATGACCCACCTTATTTAGCACCACTGCACTCAGAATTGATCTATCCATGCTCTGCCCACAAACGTGATCTTCTGGTAATATCTCTTGTTAGGCTGGACAAGATTTACAGAATGTTGACAAAACCCTCGTTAAACTGAGTGAAAAATTGCAGCATATAACTCTTTTTTTGGCAGAATATCAAAATCTGAGATATGCTGTTAATTTAAAATGCTTATTTTGTGTATGTGAGTGAAAGATCACACTGTTTGGGTGCAGTTTTGTGTTAGTAGTTGTGTGTTTAGCAAGCATCTGTTACTGAATGACTACCTCTAACCTTCTAGAGACTTTGTGTGGCTTATCAATTGTTATTGGGATCTGAATATGTCTCCATCTGGTTACCTTTACTGTGACCAAGTACTTTGAATTTACTGATGTAACTTGCAGTGCTTTTTGCTTTTCCATAAAGCCAATACATAGGGCAAGAAAAATGTTGGTAAATCCCTTAAAGTAACTTCAGTCATATTGCAGTAGCTAGTGATGGATGGATCAATGTGCAGGCTAAAATGGGCTGAACCCAGGGGCTGCTGCATGCACAAACTTGAGTGCATAAAGTCTAGAAATCAAATTAAACTAAATACAATACATTTGTCATCACTTTGCCTGTTTTGACAGACTGTTTTACAAGCCAACAATCCATATGGGGATGCTTTGTAGGTAGCAAATGATCATGTAATGTTATTACACATAAAAGTTAGGGAAGTTAGGTGCCTGTCAAAGTGCACCACACCGAGATTGTCAAAATGACAATGTGGTATTGTACCAGTAAAGAATGAGGGAGGCGACACAGCACACAAGCTACTGCACATGAATTTGCACAATACAACAAGTGAACTGAGGAAGCTAAACAGTATCCACCCAGGGCTGGCGGTTCCCTCCACATATGCAGAGACGCAAGGAATCGCATAATATGGCTGGTAGAGAGAAAGCGCAGTAAAGAACGTTCTTCCTGAGACAGCTCAAGAAATTCAACCTGTCGCAGAGTCTGATGATCCAGTTCTACACAGTGATCATCGAGTCCATCTTCATGTCACTCATAACCATCTGGTTTGGTCCCTTCACTTCACAAGAACGAGCCAAATTCTTGGATGTAGTCTGCCAATGCTTCAGGACATCTACAACAGCAGGGTGACGAAGCAAAATTACAGCTGACCTCTCTTATCCTGGATATCACCACTTCCAGCCACTTCCCTCTGGTAAAAGATTCAGGGCCTTCAAAGCCAGCACAACCAGACATGCTAACAGCTTTTTCCCCAGCACCTCACACTTTAAACTTAAACTGAACCATCAAACCTCCTTACTGTATTACATTATAACTTATCCTGGAGCATAGTATAGTACTAGTTTTCATAGTATATTTTATAGCACATATCTACATGACCTGCATGTGTACAGACATTCATATCTGCATATGTACAGATATCCACACATCTTTTATGTACATCTCCTAAGCTTTTCATTTTAATTTCAGTGGCATTTGATTTCAACTTTGGAGGCGGTGCATTATAACAGTGTTGTAACTGGCTTCTTTATTAACTTCATGAACATCTAAAACTGTTCGTCAACCTCAGCAGTGGAGACTTTAGTATCATTACATACACTTCAATTTCAATGTATTTATTAAAACAACATACTTCTAACCAACAACCTTTTCCCTATTCAGCAGTTCATGTATAAAACAGAGACAGGTGTATCAGGATGAAAGTAGTAACTGATCTATCTAGAAGCTATGGGAGACTTATTAAATAATTGAAACATATACAGTATGCAGATGCTGCACAGCATAATCTAATGTATGTTTTGAAAATGTGTTTAGTTGCTACTGATTTTCTAAGTCAGTCATTTTAACAGCAGTACTGACTGGGCACTAGACAATGGAGCTCTCGCTACCAAACTAGGCAACAACATTAGTTTTTTTAGTTTACCTCACTTTTAAACGTGTTTGATAGTCTTGAACAAGTGGAGCTGGCTTAGTCTGGTACTGACAAGCAGCATAAACATAAAGCAGCATTAAACATAAAACAGCATAAAAGCTGACTGTATATGTATACTTGCGTTCTGTGAGTGCAGGGACGTAAGGACATGACAGAAAATGTCATGAAAATTAAACCAATATATAAAAAACAACTAAAACCAAAAGCAATCACAACACATGGTTTAAAAGTAAAATCCAGATGTGTTGAGAGTAAATTATTGGAAGGGACAGTTCATCCACCTCCAAACAGAGGAGAACACGCCCCTTAAATCTACACTTATGCATCATATAGACCAACTGCTTGGTTGGCTAGATCATATAGACCATCTGATTGGTTGGCTAGATCATATAGACCATCTGATTGGTTGGCTAGATCATATAGACCATCTGCTTGGTTGGCTAGATCATATAGACCTACAGTTTGGTTGGCTAGATCATATAGACCAACTGCTTGGTCAGCAAGATCATACAGACCTACCACTTGGCTGGCTAGACCATATAGACCTACATCTTAGTTGTCTAGATCAAATAGACCTATTGCTTAGTTGGCTAGATCATATAGACCTACAGCTTGGTTGGCTAGATTATACAGACTTACTGCTTGGTTGGCTAGATCATATAGACCTACTGCTGGGTTGGCTAGATCATATAGACCTACTGCTTGGTTGGCTAGATCATATAGACCTACAGCTTGGTTGGCTAGATCTTACAGACTTACTGCTTCGTTGTTTTGATTATGCAGACCTACTGCTTGGCTGGCTAGACCATACAGACCCACTGCTTAGTTGGCTAGATAACATAAACCTACTGCTCATTTGGCTAGATCACACAGATGTACTGCTTGAATGGCTGCTTGATGTTGAACTGAATTTACATTAAGTTTTTTAATGGATGATGTAGATAAAATGTTTCCTTCACATATATACAAAATATATGTCATTTGAAATTAATAAAGCATTAAATTAAATACATTTTGGAGTTAGGTGGAATGGGATTCTCGCCAATATTCCGTTAAGCTTGTTTCATCTAGCAACAATAACAATGATAGAATGAAAGATCATGTATAGGTTAATTGAATTGAGCATGTCTGTTCATGGTAGCCTCTGTGCATGTCTTTCATTGACAACATGTTTCTCACTACAGAGCAGATGTCATTTAAGTGTTTTTGTTTTTTTATGTGTGTAAACATGTTATTATTAGCTAATATAATGACAACACATTGGCACTTTATTAAGTTTGCATCTAATTTCCATGAGCAGGTGGAGCATGTGTGTAGTGGAGTTTATATGATTATACTGATAGTGCTTTAATATCTTTACAAAGCTCATTTAATTTCCTCATATCTCTTTATTTATGATATCAACAAAAGCAAGATTCATGGCGTAATGTGTAGTAACTTTATAAAATAGAATTGTAAATATCTAAATGTTCTAAATATCAAGCTGTATATTGTCTGAACAAAACCTCCAACTTTACTTTTAATGTAAATTAATGAAATGAGATTTTATTCTGAGTAATTTTGGACCATTTCTATTGGCCCATTCATCTTACAATATTCTATTATGTAAAGGACAGCAGAAGCTTCCAAATTGTGTTAAAATAAATAAATAGATAAATAAAAACAGAAAAAAATTGACATGCAAGGCTTTGTTTTTGACAGTAATATGTTTTTGTAGGTGTATGGCTACCTGGTCTAGAAAACACCAGATAAGACTAATATCACATGTGAAAGGTGCCAGACATTCGATAGCCACTTAACACCTGAGCACAGCAGTTGTGCCAAACTGTGAGTTTCATAACTGACAACTGAGCACAAAAAGCATGGCAGCCTGTAGTGGCCACTTACTGTATGAGATGGCAAATGGCAGAAAAATGTGTTACTCAATCCTTAAACAGTGAGCTCCAAAGGTGTGAGAAAACGAGCGAAAATACCTCTGTTTTGCATTGTTTTCTAATGTAAGGCAAAGTTAAACAGAGCTGTCTGACCACAATCTTCAATGAAAGGGGTAAGATTCACAACTGCTTTAAATGTTTTTGTACAAAACATGGCCAATGTCACCACTTTACTGAAATTTGAACAGTGATGCATAAATAACACCAAATTGTGAATATTTCTACTTTATTTTACTTGTCAAAACTTTTAATTCTTTAAAAATGTACAAAATTCTAAAACTTTCCATTTTTTTCCAAGTTTGAATAAAAAGTCCCAGATTTTCAATGTGGTCTCAGACTTTTGGCCCAAAATACTGTTCCCAGAATGATGGAAACCATGAAAATCTGCCATTTGGTTGCCCCATGAGGAAAAATGCTTTTTTTACAAAGAGCTTTTAGTAGAAAAAGCAAAAAAGGTCAAAGATTTGCTTTAATGCAGAACAGCAGCATTTATACACACTTATACAGAACGCAGTTGAAATACACAGGAGTGGAAGTACTGTTCTTACTTGTAATAACTGTACTTAAGTATTATTTTCGAGGAGATTTGTACTTTACACAAGTAGTATTGAAACTGAATATTTGCACTTTTAAAGAAAGACACACATTTTAATCACATTTTCATTTAGACTGTCAAATCTACAGATCATTATAAATCTCAGCCCAATCTCAGCTCAGTCCAGCACACATATGGAAAGTAAGATACAAAATCAACAAGTTTTGAATTTATTGTTTTTGTGATGCCATTAACACCAGCACACTTACATATATCCACTCATTAACCTTACAGCAGTTTAGTCCCACCCATTCACATTGAAGTTATAGGAAGTGTTATCTCAGACTGTTTTTGTGAATGGAGGCACAATACAGGGCAGCCAATCAGAACAGAGCTCATTTACATACATATTTAATTCTAAGGAATATTGTGTATGTTTTTCTGTCAGTATTTCATTTTAATAAGACTGCTGGTACATAAATCTACACAAAGTGTACACAAACTTACTACATACGTGAATATGTGGGGCTAAAAAAAAATGGGCTTTTAAGTGACATTTTGACAAAGTACTCATACTTTCACTTAAATTAAATTTCTGTACTTTTTCCAGCCCTGGAAATATACAACAAAGACAGGAATACACAGTCTGCGTGTGTGTGTTTGTGTGTGAGTGTGCGTGTGCATGCGTGAGATAGAATGTACAATGCCTCACAACAGGACTGAGAAAGTGAGGAAAGTAAGAGAGAGAGTGAGAGAGAGAGAGAGCGAGAGAGAGAGAGAGAGAGAGAGAGAGAGGGAGGGAGAGAAAATGTGTGAGAGAGACAGAAGAGCAAACAGGAACTCACTTCTGAAGCTTTTCTGGTTTCTTCTCAGGCTTCTCGGGGTAGGGGATGATGAGGTCAATGGCATTCTCTGGCTTCTGGAGCAGAGTTCCTAACTTAGTCTTGATCTCTTTAGCCCTAAAAGACAAAAATCAAATCATTAGTTCACTTATTTCATTTATCTGTGCCTGTCACTGTTACAGTTAAACTGTAGTGTTTCAGAGATGAAGTATGGACCATTTGTGGTCCATCAAAACTCTTCTTAATTGGTGTTTAAAAATTCATTTAAGCTGAATATATACAAATGAGACATGTAGTTAATATTCACAACCAAAATAACCATGACTAAATCTCGCTTCCGATTCCCAGTAGTGTAGAACGGTTTGCCAAGAATTTTGTTTTTTAAACAAAATTAAACAGCAGTTGCAACACAGTGGATATTACGACATCTGTCTTAAACCAAGAGTTATATTTGTCCAAGTGCTGACAGTTTTGCACCTCCATGAACAGTCCCCAGTTTTCACAGAGCTGGTCTGTGTCCTAGGACCTACAGCAGTACGCGACGAGAGCGCGCCATGTTTCGCGAACTATGCTGCCCCACTGCACGCCCCAAAGTAGAGAAGCGCTAAAGATCACAGCTTTTACCATATGAATTCCATTTCGGCCAGCATTTCTAAAGTTAGGTTATTTATGTGAAAGCTTCTTTTGTCCTGCATTATGGAAAGCAGACCCTGCGCTATTAAAAACAGACCTTCTATATCATTTTTCTTCCTTTTTCTGACATGAAGAAAAAGGTTCCCTTGATCTCCGTTGCTGATTATTTCACGCACAGGATACAGTTCATTAGAGCTCAGCATTCATGGTGTACTGTTACACCAACACTCAGTCTAGTTAAATGATTCCAGCTTACAAAACAAAAACTTTTAATATTTTCACATTACAAAGAACAAAGAGCAAATAGTTCAAATAAATAGTTTATGGCATAACTTTTTGATTTTGGAATTAAAAGCAGTTATTATCAACTGCTACACAATATTAATATAGAAAAATAGGACAAATGTGCTTTTTATTAATTTTATATTTTAAAATGTGATAAGCTAGAGTCATGTATGGTACATTCACTGAACATCAGTTACTTTCATACATATAGACTTTTTATAGACTGCTTATATGCAAGAGCAGCCTGTACACAGCTTTTGATCAAAGAAAGTCTCGCCAAATTCAAAAGAAGCTCTCTACACAAGTGCGCAACTACAGGCGTTTAATGAGGCTTTCAGTACATTATCAAAGCCGGCAGGAAACTTCTTTTAAAAACAGGGACACCGGCAAAGAAAAGCATTGAGCTTTGAGCTTCTGACACTTCAAATAATCATAAATAAAGCTTTTCAGGCACAAGAAAACTCTAAAATTAGTAAAATATGGGCACTCAAGACATTTTTGTAGTGGCAGTGATGAAAAGAGCAGAGTATTGGTCTGAAGATTTAATGACTAAGGTTTGATTTTACCAAATAATATCATGCATTTGGCTTTTTGCATAACATGCCATGCAAAAGTATACTGTAACACAAACTATACATAAAAAGCATGCCGGTTTAATCTAGTTCAGTCTTCTTCTTCCTCTTATTTTTCTTTTTCTTCTTCTAAACAAAAACAGTCATCCAGTAAAATAAACCAAACTGCGCTTACCTTTCCAGACATGTCTGAGGAAGGGCAGCTAATCCCTTGCACATTTTTCGGACTCTTTATTACTGGTGCTCAGAGCTACTCCACCATGAGTTCCTGTCTCCGCTTTCTTTTTGAATTGTTCTCCCTGCTCTGCACTGTTATATGGAGACAACTTGTTGGCCCTGAGCCAGCAACTCCAGAGCCAATCATGCGGCAGCTTACAATTACGGTGAGAGGCGACCGTGTTCTGGAGATAGTCAACAAGTGCAGGGACCCTTTAATCTCTTTAACCCCCCGAGAAGTTCTGTGACGTGAATATAAGGGAGAGAACAACAATATATGATCTAAATATTCTACAGTTCACATGAAATGAAAAAACCCATACCTTATGTGCCCTTAAAACCTGATACTGGTCAAACTGATTATAGTTTGGATGACAGAAACATATTAAGACTGGTCTTTGCCTAATTATACGTATAAGTCAATATGTACATCAGAATAAAGTTTTTAGGTTTGGAGTAAAGCTGTAAAACATGCCATTGTGGTTTACATACAAAATCTTACACCTTTTTTTCTGGACCTTAAAAAAAAATGAATACCTTTTAAATTGTAAGGTAATTTGTTCTGCCTGTATTGTCTTAAATGAATGACCAAAATATAAAATAAACAAATGAATAAGAAGCTTTTATATTCAGAGCAACTACATTTACCACACATTTAACTCCTGAGCATCTGCATATTGCCCACACTCTGTTTCCTCACTTTAATGACTACGTAACTTACATATTAGCTTCAAAGTAGTTATTGAATCATTCTTAGAAGTTACTGAATAGTAACGGAATGATACACCTAGGGTTCAAGGGGCTAACTGAAAAGGTACTTCTGCTGGGTCTTATTCACCGTTCAAGAATTCAGGGGTCATTTTAATCTAAATGGAAACAGATGGGAGGAAACCTGACTGGCATAGATCTAAGATTACGCTATAGGCCCTGCTGGAACTCCTAGTTCACATAATACTGACATAATGCTGATATCATACTATATCAGTTGCATCAGTTTACATAATGCAAAGCACAGCAAGTTATTGCTAAATTACTGATGGCTATCTTTCCAAACTGAAAACACAACATAGATAACAGAATAGCTTTCCCAGCGGCTCTATATACTTTTTAACATTCAGTTCTTAGTTTTGGTATCTGGCTTCAAAAATTGGATTACAGGGTCTATTTAGATTTTGAATATTTAAAATGATTAACATCCTCTCGTCTTTTTTACCCAAAATGTGATTCACATTATTATCCTAAGGATTGAAATCTACTATATGTGTTCATGTTAACTGAAAACTCTACTGCTGGAAACCACTCAAGCAGCCCTCTGTAAAGTGATAAAACAAATTTACCTAAATATAGTACCCCACAGATATGATTGACATCTTTTGTAAAGGCCACAGAAGGCCATGAAAAATGTCAATGTTATCTTTTAGCAACTTAATCTTATACTGAAAATCAATTGCCTTGGAAAAGAGATAAAAATGAAATAAGACAAAGGCTTAGCTTCATAAATCAAACAATACAAAACAGATTCTGTTCACGTTTGAAAATACCCATTTTCAACATTAGCGCATTAAGTCACAGATAACTGGAGTTTGATGAATCTGTCTGGAAGAGGACACAAGTGTATTTTTCTCCCATGCACAGCAAAGAGGATAATTCGAGAGACAGCACTTTCTACTAGAATCATAGCTGGACAGCTAGCATGAGCTGGTGGCATTCTGGGGTCACAAAGTCTCCAAAACTACAAGGAGATTCACTCGAAAGAGGCCTCAAATATTCTGTTGTAACTCCTGTTAGGATGAAGCAATCTGAACCAAAAAAATACGGTATATATCTTGACGTGTGTGTAGTTGATTGCGATACGTGCAATGCTGGAAGTGATCACCGTTTTTTGCCAGACACATGAAGGGGTACGGGGGTATGAACCCGGAAGTTGCAAACGGAGGTTGTTCGGCACTTACCTCGTCGCTCTGACGCAGGGGCATCCCGGCTTGTTTGAAGCTCCATATACTGAGGAGCACATTGCACATGTTTCGTTCAGATTGTTTTGTCCTAGAGAGAGTTATTACAGAATATTCGGGGCCTCTTTCGAGTGAATCTCGCTGTATAATTAGCCACCACCTCCATGCTAACAAACCATTGAGAAGGCTTGTCATGATGAAAAAAAAAAAACATCAAATGTACATCAGTTGATGGGAGTCCTATGTTCAGATAAGACAAGAAAAGAGCTTTTTGGCAACAAACAACACAGATGGGTTTGGCACAAACTCACCTCCAGCTCCATTGCAGGACATAATTGCAGAAAAGATCCATAACCAAAAAACAACTGTGAAGTAAGACGATAGGCCTGGTGTATGGTGGTGGACATGTGGTGCTGTGAACTGAATCTGTGAAGTATGGTGGTGGACCTGTGGTGCTCTGAACTGAATCTGTGAAGTATGGTGGTGGACCTGTGATGCTCTGAACTGAATCTGTGAAGTATGGTGGTGGACCTGTCATGCTCTGAACTGAATCTGTGAAGTATGGTGGTGGACCTGTGGTGCTCTGAACTGAATCTGTGAAGTATGGTGGTGGACCTGTTATGCTCTGAACTGAATCTGTGAAGTATGGTGGTGGACCTGTTATGCTATGAACTGAATCTGTGAAGTATGGTGGTGGACCTCTAATGCTGTGAACTGAATCTGTGAAGTATGGTGGTGGACCTGTGATAATCTGAACTGAATCTGTGAAGTATGGTGGTCGACCTGTAATGCTCTGAACTGAACCGCCACTGTGAAGTATGGTGGTGGACCTGTGATGCTGTGCACCGAATCTGTGAAGTATGGTGGTTGAACTGTAATACTGTAAACTGAATTGCCACATTAAGTATAGTGGTGGACCTGTGACGCTGTGAACTGAATTGCCAATGTGAGGTTAGACACTAGATTTATAATACTGTGAACTGACTCTCCACTCTGGTGGTGCTTTCCTCCAAAGGCCCTGGAAATTTTGTTAGGCTGTATGCCATGCAATCAAATACCACAAGGCTTAGCTCAAAATCTTGATGTCTCTGCCAGAAAGCCAAAGTCATGGTTGGATCTTCCAGCTGGACAATGATCCAAAGCTTACTTCCAAAATCCCACAAAATTGGATCACAGACAGAATCAAGCTTTTGCAGTGTCCCCTGACCTCAATCCTAAAGTACACTTGTGGGCTAAGCTGAATATAAGATTCCACTAATGTGGATCAATGATACTGGAGAAGATTTGTTAAAAGACGTGGTCTCAGATCTCTTTATATGTTTTCTACCACCTCATCCATCATTGTTAGATGAGACTTAGTGCTATTATCATGGCAAAGGGAAAGTGTATACTGTACTAAATGCTTATATTTGCTAATCAGGGTGTCAATACTTGTGACATTTTGAGAAGAATTCTACATTTTATGTGCAAGCCACTTCCATGCTGGATGAGATATCATCATATGTATTTGCATATATTTTTAACAATATTTTAGTAATACATTTGATAGATAATAAGCATGATTTCCATATATAAGGCCCATAAAATACAGGTGTCCCTGTATTGTTTTTAGTTTAGTTCAGTTTTGAATGAACAGTTCAGAACACATAAAAACTAAATAAATACTAAGTTTCCTTTTTGATAATGTTATGTCTATTAAACATTTACAGTACTGTCCAACCCAAACAAGCTAAGCAAGTTTTGCAAGGCCAGTATTAAAGAAGCATTAGTTCATTAACTTTATTAATGTGATTTTAAATATCACAAAATACTGTGATACTGTGAAATATCTGGGAAATATTTTGATATTAAATTTTCAGTGTCAGAATCAGAACCTTTCAACACTACTTCCATTATTTGTTCTGAGAATATTATTTGCCATGTTTTCTGTTTGTGTCCAGTGAATAACTGGGCTCTCTTGTTTGCTCTTCATTTGTATGGATGTATGGAAACAGAAAGGACTAGGCTTTAAGCCCTGAATGAACACCAATTTTGAATTTGTATCATGAATGGCATGTTTTACCTCCCTTATTCAATACAATAAGTTGTTCTTTAGGTCAAAGTTGAGTCATGTAATGTTGTAACTGAACATCACATTGTTGCAATTAATGCATTCAGTCTCAGGAAGATTGTTTCGCATCCCACAACAAAGAATACTCTTGCAGAAAAAAGCTAATAAAGGCTAAGAGGCATGAAAAATTGAAGCAAAGCACAGCTTTGGACAGCTAAACAAACACTTAACTATAAGTATTTACAGAACAAGACATCCTTTACACAGAAAAACCAGAAGAAAGAGATGATGACTCCTTTCCGAGAAGTGGACTGATAGTGAATGAAGAAATCAGTTCAAACTTGGCAAATAGCTGATGATTTACATTTGATGACCTTTTCAAATACACAAATTGCTTTTGGCTGTGGATTTTCTTTTGTAACAGAAATTGCTTTTGGCTGTGGAGTATGTTTTGTTAGCAAACATTTCTGTGTGATGCAGAGGTGCCCATTTCTGTTCAGGTCTAGACGGTCACACAGCTTACATAACCTCAAGGCCTGCGTGATCTGTTTGAAATATCAGACCTCTGTGGAAAGGCTCAGTTCAACAGTCTGAATACATCTAACTTTTTGCTTGAAGCCTGCATCTAACTTCAGTTTTTGCTTTTTGCCTAGGTCATAAATGATAACAGAAGGTTTCATCAGTCTTAGCATTTTGCCTAGATGACAAACAAAGTCTAACTTATATTTTTGCTTTTTTTGGCTAGATGACATGATAATTGAAAGCAGCATTAGCTTCATACAGGTGATATACATTGTTTCAGTGCTTTCCAAGCTTTCTTATGCAGTATTCCTTACTATGGAATTCATTTTTTTCCTGATTTAACTCTTTTATTCAGCTTATAAAGGGTTTTGATTTGGAGTGTTAAAGTAGGGAAATGTTAAACTGTGCAGCAACTACACAACCACAAATGCCAAACCCAGGCATTGCATGCTGCTGTTAGTGGACACAGGATTTTTTTTTAGCGTGGTTTATCTTGATTGAACGTGAACAATGTGTCTGGGTGGTACCACCCGTCTCCCTCGTAGCTTTGACATTGTGTGTGAAACA